CAGCTGATTTAAGGGATTCCGTTTAATCTAACTCACACTGAAGGATTGCTCCCTAATGAAAGCCCACCAGAGAAGAGACATAAGGACAATCTGTGCTGAGAAGACAAGTAGATCTAGAATTGCTCAAGGGAGAGTTTTATACATCGAGGGATTAAGGTTTTTGAAGAAAAAAGGCATTGATTCAACTTGTCTGTTTAGCGACACTGAGAGTAATAAGTCTAAGTGGCCTAATATAAAAGTATTTCTTTCACATGCAGTTAGACACTGTCTCAATGATTAACACTTAACTGCATTCAAACATTCCTAGTAGCAAAACTGATCCATTGTATAAAAGTAAGTTTTGGTGTTACAATGACTTTCTGTGAGCAGCATGGATTATTCATGCATGTTTTTCATTTTCAGTTACTAATAAATCTTGAACTAGCTCTTTTCTTCAGGTAGACCAAGATTAATATCAGGTCATCTTTAGCAAGTTTCTTCTTCTTTTCCTTCTGTTAAATTAATTTACTAAGACCAAAACAGTTAGAGAAGATAGACACCATAAAATAACAAAGATATATTGCAAATTTTATTCCTCACAAAATCTCGTGACAGAAATAATGTGATTTAATCCTTATAACTCATGATGGGTTTTTGTTGTGGTTTTTAGAGTATATTGTGGGTTTTTTTTTAAAGTGGGAGTCAGCAGAAATGTACTTGTAAACCTTTGAGTAGTGAAGTTCTTAGGTCTAAGACCCTTAAATCTTAATGGATTACAGGCAGTTTTTTCCAAGTGGTAATCAAGATGCAGGAGCGTCAGTTACTTCTGCAAAACTGAGAAACTCAAAATCAGTGCACTTCTCTAAACTTTGCCTTCTTCAATCAACCAACATGACATTATTTTTGCAAGTACTTTTCTCTACATCTACATTTCGCCTGATGTTGTTTCATCAAGACCAGTTTGTTCTAGTTGTCTGATGCCTTTCAACATTATACAATCTGAAGAAACTTAAAATAACCTTCCTGAAAGAATGACAAAGTCCATCCATCATCACATAGCTTCCACATCTGTCTTTCTCTGCATCTACCAATAGAATTCAAAACTGAAAAAAAAAAATGGAAAAGTCCTGAAATAAAAATACACAAGTAATTGTACATGCTATTAAAAAAAAACAAACAAAAAAACCAAACAAAACAAAAACACAAAAAAGAACAAAATAAGAAACTTCCTTTCATAGTACTACAAGTCAGTTATAAATATTTTTTTCTACCAGATTGATTCCTATGTATTTCATCTGCATACCCCTTATGTAAGTAAAAAAAGGTAATGATTTCCAGTTTCTGTTTTCTTTTACCTGTACATATGATACCACACAAGGTGTTTGGCCTGAATCTTATAATAAACTTAGTAGAGTTAATTTAAATATTTTCCCTCTGATTGCATATTTGTAAGTGGATCACACAAGAATAGAAGCACCTTTACTTTGTTGATGTTTTGTGTGAACCTATGACAATTATCTTTGGAAGTAGATGTATTGATGTGATAAGCGCACTACATTGGCAAATGTTATAGGTCAGAACATGCTAAAACGTAGCTTTACGTACAGGAAGCATCAGAATTCCTTCCTCACACCTTTGCCGGCAGGAAGACAAGGAAATAGTATTATATATGTATCTTTTCAGTTTCCAGGGTAAAATGGTGGAGTAAAATTTCAGTTTCCAGGGTAAAATACTGAAACATTGTAAGAAGAGAGTTTAGATTTCTGGCGATACTGGATTTTTAAAGTTGAGGTGATTCTGCTTTACACTTCCAAATTATCATGAATAATGGAATTCCTGCTTATAGTTGGATAGCCACAAGTGAATTTGGTTGTTTATAGTAGCATTTTTCATTTTCTAGCACTTGGTAACTCAAATATTCCTCTTTCTATCTTAACTATCATCTTCAGATCAGTTTCTCTCTTGTATATATGACATTCGTTCTTGTTCTTTTTTTCTTTCATTGATCAGAGAATATGGAACAGAATTTTTCAGCATGACTAGAACAGTCAAATTAACATCATCTTCTCCTTCACATGTTTTATTTGGACATGATTCTTTAAGAACTGTAGTCAATATACACAATTTTATGCTTTTTTTCTGAGACTGAAATGTTTAATGCAAGCTATCTCCCAACTTCCAAATTATTGATTTCATAATTTCCTTTCCTCCTGATTACTTCTCTTCTTTGTTCTCTGAAAATGCTTCTCAGTACCCTTAATAGTTTACTGTTAATTCCACCAAGGTAATTTCCTTTTTTCCAAATTTATCTAAAATAATTTCAAAAATATTTCCATTCTGAGCTTGGGGAGGAAATCCAGAGGTAGTAGGATGACAGCTGAATGTCTTCCTAGCCTTTCTGCCTACATTTCACACCACTGTTGTTAGTTACTTTAAAAATAAAAACCTTACCAGAGCATGCTACTAGAGCACATGAACAGGACTCTTAAGGGATAGCCCTTGTCTCTCTTTAGAGGCTGTAGACCTGGCACTTGCTCATTTCAGTATGTCAAAAATTCTCTCTTGGCTTTCCACTTCAAGTCTAGTCTTCTTTGTAGCAATCCAATCATACGGATAGTTCTTTAAGATAATATAAATTGATCCTTTCAATAGCTTGTCTGAATAACAACAGAAAAGGACAATGAAGAGCAGTTGTTGCTATTTTCTCTTCTATTTTCTGATATTTAATAGAGGGGGAAGTAATCACTGAATTGTGTGGTCTTGTATATTCATATTACAGTAAAATCTTCTTTTGTGTTTGGAATATTAAGAATGGAGAACGATAGAAGTCAAATTTCACTAGGCCCAAAATAATAGAAGTTATTTAAAGAATTAGTGAGATATTCATTAAAATACAAATTCAAGGCAATTACTCTTTGAATTGTATTTGTCTGGAGCTTGTGTTGGGCTTGGTTTTGTGCAGTTCTAGAGTTATTTATACTCGCCTGTCAAAGTACCTTCTTTCTTCATATGAAAAATTTAAATAAGCGCAACACATTCCTGTGTTTAAAATGCAATATGCTCTTAACTCTTCTGCTAGGCTGTGATCAGATTATTCAGCATGTTGCATTATCAAACATATGTTAATGGAGAGGTTTTCACTGACAGACTCAGATCTGATGGTGTAAGGAAAAGCTTTTTCATGCATCTCCACATTAGGTCTAAAATGCAACTTCACAGAATGCAAATAAATGAAACAGTATTTACCTCTTCTGAAATATAATTTGCAGGAAACATAAACTAAAATTTTTGAAATAAAATGTGGATTAAGATAAATATGACTCCAGTTTCTTTATTTCTTTAATATGGAATGCATAAAACCAAATAAAATTAAAATGTAGGCATGTTTTCATTATACGGAAAAATAAAATTCACTGATGTGTTGTTTATTTGAATGTGAGGTTTTAACATTTCATTATCCTTTTCAAACACATGACTATATTTCAAATTAAATATACTTTTCAACTATTTTAATCTTTATTAAAATTGTTTACAAGATATAAATAATTTCAGCCACATCTCTGATGGACTGTCGAAGAAGCTTGTAGTCAGAAATGGACATTTGAAAACTGATGTAATAGCAGAGTACAAGGTGATCTTTAGAGTCTTAGTTGGCTTTTTTTTTTCTTATTTCTAAGAAAATTCAAGAAAATGAGGATAGAACAATGGGACAGGTAATGCTTGCAGAATAGTATAAAAATGCAAACAATTTCATTCAGATGAGGTTATTTGCATGCAAATTGATCAGACTGCAAGCTTATTTCATTACTATCCCAAGCCTGTGACTTGTCTCCCTTTTATAGGTGCCATTAAGTCTAATAAGATAATTGCCTTCATTGTATATTAATCATGTATGATCACTACATGGTTTCTGCATGATGGTGAATTGTTAATTGTTATGTTCTAACACAGTCTTAATTTTATCTGCTTGAAATAAGATACATGACAAGTCACAGCCTGGGATATTTTTTTCAATTTCTTCTAAATATTCTTCTTCCTTGTCTGTATATTTTTTTTTCAAACTGGATACTTAATTAATTATTAGCTGTAGGGTTTTTTGTTTGTTTGTTTTCAGCAACATTTAATTCATTTAACTATTTTAAATTAAAAATATTCTTCCATTCATACAGATTATATATTGTTTTTACAGTCAATCATCTGCTCTTCAATTCATAAGATGCAGATTTTTTTTTTTTTTTTTGCATTTCCCTATACCAAAGCCATCAGTTTTGCACAAATTACTGTATGTGTATCCCCTGAAGATGACCCTTAAGCTTTGGCATTTGGAATCACTCACAGTCCAAATTGTACTGGTGCAGAGACTCAAGGCTCAAAGGAAATCCAAGCTGTAAAAGCTTTCCTAACAGCTTTCATGCAGTCTTGTCATGAATAGTGAAAGAAAATAGAGTATAAGAATAGGAGAACCATACAGGGCTCATATACAAGGTTTTCAGTCTCTCAGAACCCTCTCAAGTCCTGTCCAGTCTACCAGAGAACAGAAGGGACAGGGAGAAGGTAACAAGATATCAGCTCATTAGTAGTAAGAAAAAAATAAACAAAAGGTATATTGAAAGTCCATGAGGCCATGATTTCCTCAGGCTGCGGATGGCACAGGAACTTCCCTGTGAAAGGGTATGAAGTCGTTAAGGCAGAGTGTGTGCCAGTAAAAACAGCATGGGAAGAGTGTGCACAGGTGCTGAAGGCATTTGTCCTCAAGTCCCAGGCAATGATGAGCTTCGTTGATTATTGGCAGTGGACAGGGAGTGAAGGAGCAGGAAATGGGCAAAGATAATTTCATTACTCTCAGTAAATAGTGTCAGGTGCCTCTTTGTGCTAGCTTTCTTTTGCAGATGACTGGTAAGGCTCTTTGTCAGGGCTCTTACAGTGCAAGCATAATAGTTTATTGAATCTCTGCAGTCAGAGTGAGCCCTTCATGTTAAGGGCAATAATGCTTAAATAACTAGAGTCATTTAACCTTTCAGATACAATAAGTCAACATCTTCAAAGGAAGGAAGAGGATTTTCCTACTTCATTCTGGACATACCTGACTGTTGGATACCTATGGCTCAGAACTCGGTCTGGAGGTACTGACCATTAGGGTAGAGAAGTTTAATGTTATGTTCTCTTTTTTGTGCTGATACATTTCCTTTGTTTTATATATCATGTAAGTGCTGTTTGCTAGGAATTTCCAAGATAAGTGGTTAATTTTTTCTCACATTCCTAGCAGATGAGACAGTTTATCAAATGTGAGCGATGCACTTAATTGTTAGGTCATGTCTATTAATGTCTTAGATGCTGCCATTAACTATATTTTAAAAGGTTTAAAGTTCAAAAGTATACCAAGCTAATTTATTCTTTTTTTAGACTTATTTCTACAGAAGAAATCCAGATCTACATGATAATAAGGGAAACAAACCAAAACCATGGGTCCCTATCATCATTTATCTAAGGAAGCAGGTTTATTGGGGTCAGATACAGACTAGCAGATCTGTAGGTAGATTTTCAGATTTGCAGAGTTTATACATAGAGCAAGAGTTATCTATTTATCTCAAGAGGATTAGATTGTCAATTTTTTACTACCATTGAGATATTTTCTATTAACAGTTTTCCCTGGGAAAATGTCCCCTGGATGTTCTAACTAGAAATGTAATGGGTCTGGTTACAAATACATTTTTAATTTTGCTAATAAACATACATCTTAATAAGATATCAGTGAAATGATGTTATAAACTGATGGAAATATATTTTTCTGTTAGATTTTTATTCATCAAGCAGTGTTTTATTACACTTGTTAATAACATAAGAGAATACATTTCTAGAGTAAAATCTAATGCTAATTTTTATTCATAATATTTAAATTAATATTAAGCCAGACAATAAAAATATGAGTGAAAATTATTACACTAATGTGAATACTTTCTAAGGGGAGACATCATGATGGATTGCAATGTAATGTCTGCCTGAAATGCTAAAAATCACTAATAACATAAAGTTCAATAATCTTATATAGCAATATATAACAAAGGGCACTCTATATCAGCTTTGAATTAATATTTCCACAGAAAAATGTTATAACTTTCTTAGCTTTTTTTTCCATTGTTCTCTTTGATATTTCTTGTAAATTTCCCTTGGATACTAAATTCAAAGACTTCCTTGAACTTACTCTACATATACTGAAATACAGCTTTTTCACATTTATAAATGTATGCAAGTCTTTGAGAAACGTTCCCTTAGGTTTATTGAACTGAAAATAGTTCATTAACTTGAAGCCACCTATTTTCCACAGTGGTTATAAAGAGATACTTTCACTACTGTTAAAAATATGTCAGATTTCTGAAACTGATTTTTTAATTCCCAATTCATGTTTGTTCTGCCTGTTACTGTATAGGTTGCATTTATTTTAAAACGTTATTGTCCTGCTTTCAAACCCACACCCCCATCTCCCCCCCCATGGAGCAAGCTGATATCTGTTCTTTAAACCATAAAAAATAACTTTCTTTCACTCGTTATAGAATTAGAATTTCACTTTTTTTTTTTTCTGCCATGTGAGTGAGGGTGTTTTTCTGATTTGTGCCCCTCTCCTAATCTTTATTAAGTGTCCCTGGACAGTCTTTAAAACTACTGTGTAAAATAATACTTGAGATTTTGATAATTCAATATGCAAATTGGTAAGGTGCAAGAAATAAGGTTTCTATTTCTTCTGTTGAAATATTATTTCTCAGTCTAATAAAATTTGTGTTTGTTTTTTTATTTGGTTTGGGGTTTTTAATATAGTCAATTTTCATATTATCGTCCTATTACTCCGGTTATGCATTCAGACAGTTACTCACAGTTAAACTAAATTATGCAGGTTTTACAGTTTATGATTTCCTTATTATCAGGAGTACTTTTACCTATCAATCATTTGAAAATAATGTTCTCACTTTTTGTACCAAACAGACTCAGTTTAAAGAAACATTTTGTCCTCAGAATCAGCAAATATCACAGAATCATAGATTCATAGAATCATTAGGTTTGGAAAGGACCTTAAGATCGTCTAGTTCCAACCCCCCTGCTATGGGCATGGACACCTTACGCTAAATCATACCACCCAAGGCCTCGTCCAAGCTGGTCTTGAACACTGCCAGGGATGGAGCATTCGCAGGCTCCCTGGGCAACCTATTCCAGTGCCTCACCACCCTAACAGGAAAGAATTTCCTTCTTATATCCAACCTAAACTTCCCCTGTTTAAGTTTTAACCTGTTACCCCTTGTCCTATCACTACAGTCTCTAATGAAGAGTCCCTTCCCAACATCCCTATAGGCCCCCTTCAGATACTGGAAGGCTACTATGAGATTTCCACACAGCCTTCTCTTCTCCAGGCTGAACAGCCCCAACTTCCTCAGCCTGTCTTCATACGGAAGGTGCTCCAGTCCCCTGATCATCCTCGTGGCCCTTCTCTGGACTTGTTCCAACAGTTCCATGTCCTTTTTATGTTGATTGATTCCTTTCTCATTTTCAGATATTGTAATACCCTTATCCAAACATTTCTTTTCCTGACATTTCAGTCTTTCTTATAGTTCAGAATCTTCAAGAAACACTCCAGGAAAACCTGAATAATCAGCCTGAAGTCGCTGTGGTTCTGGAGTGGCCAAGTGGCTTGAGATGCAACTTGCTATCGACAAAATGTCTTATGTGTTTGCTGACCTGTACCAACAGCTCAGCTGGTGGCCTGTGGCTATGAATAAGCTCTATATGCTAAGAACACATTCTTGCATGTTCAAGAAATACGAAGTCCTTAGATCAAGCAATATGCATTCCTGCAAGCTCTCTGAAAAGTTAATCTTTGAACTCAAAAGTAAACTGGCAGGTAGAGTTGGACAGGGAGTTGAAACATGGAATATTTAAAGCATAAAATGTACCAGGGACCTGCCATGTGCTTTTGAAGCATTGCATAGCCATCACAGCCTCACAAAACACCTGGGATGTAGATGTTTTAGGTTAATGAATTCACACTGTTTTATAGGACAGAAAAGACTGTGAGGCATGAAATAGGACCAAGTTTCATGATGAATGATACTGTATTATCAGCAGTTATTGTTTTGACACTATCACGGAAGAAATCATCTATCTAAACATAAGAGCAAAATGACAAAGTATTGAACATAAATGCTCCTTCTGGAAGAACAGAAAATGAAATAAGATATTTTATGAAGAGAAGTTGAAATGCAATATAATTTACAAAGAACATTAACAAATAACATGTTAACAGTCAGACTGAAACATCAAAATAACAGTGAGTGCCAAAAATGTGGATGTATTAAAAGAATTTGCATTGAAAACAATTATAATTATTAAGATAATGAAACAACAAAGAAGAAGATTAATTAAAGAGATACAAACAGACAGCTGTAAAGAGAACTATGTTTCACATATGTGTGAAAGGAGCATCAAATGTCAAATTGGAGCTGAGCTAAGGTCCCAAGCACCATGGGTGGAATATATAAAAACTGTGAAAGGATCAATGCAGTTACAATACCGTGCCCCACTTGGCATGCATTTGCAGCCACAGTATCCCTGGAGTTTTAAGCTTTATGGCCCTGTGAACACTAACCCTAACCCTAATTTAAAGGTATTTTATAGCTTAGATCATGCCCCAGCACCATTTGTGGGTGAAATGAAAATGATGTGAAAGGAGGAAAGTTGTTGCAGTGCCAGGCTACACTAGGCAGGACATTTACAAACCCACTGTCTAAGGAACTCTGGGTTTTATGAATCTCTAAAAAAGAAGAAATGTCATTGCAGTGCCGTGCTCCATTTGGCATGCCTTATGCATCCTAAACGTCTCTGGAGCTGTAGCTTTATGACAGTCTGAACCCTAACACTAACCCTAATCTGAACAGCACCACACAGATAAATTTAAAGTCCCAAGTACCATGGGAGGTCCAGATGAGAAAGGTGTGGAAAGAACCAATGTTGTTGCAGAGCCATGCTATTCTTGGAATGTTTCCTACAGAGCAAAGTGTCTCTGGAGCTGTTGACTTTATGACAGTCTGATGCCTAAACCTAACCCTAATCAAGATGGCACTTTGGAACTGAGTTTACAGTCACAAGCACTATGGCTGGTCCAGATGAATGTGCAAAGCTTAAAAGAGGTACACTAACATGCCCACCTAATAATGCCATTTGCAGCCCCAGAGTCTCTGGAGTTATAGCATTCTGAACCATAACGCTAGAGATGATCTAAATGGTGATGAGTTTAAAGTCCCAAGCAGAATGGTGGCTCCAGATGAAAAAGTTGTGGAAAGATTAATAGTGGCACACTGCCAGGCTCTCCTTCTAATGATCTTTTCTGCCCCAGTGTTGGAGCTGTAGCTATTATGGATATCTGAACAGTGTGCATAACCCAACACCCTAACCCTGAGAAGACCACCTCGCGGCTGATGCTAATGTGCCAAGAATGATGGATGGCCCTGATGAGAATAGTATGGAAAGTAGCAATGTTATTGCAGCGTTATTCTCCTCTTGGCATGCCTTTTGCAGCACAAATGTCTCCAGAGCTGTATACTTTATGACAGTCTGAAAACTACCCCTGACGCTAACCCTAATCTAAATGAAACCTTGGAGCTCAGTTTACAGTCCCAAGCACCATGGCTGGTCCAAAAGAAAAAGATGTCGAAAGATTAATAGTGGTACACTGCCATGCTCTCCTTACGTAGTTTTTAACAGGCCCAGTGTCCCTGGAGATGTAGGCATTATAGATCTCTGAACAGTAACGCTTACCCTAATCTAAATGGCATGTTGGACCTAAATTTAAGGTCCTAATCACCATGGTTGTCCCATATGAGAAAGGTGTGGAACAAGCAATGTCTTTACAGTGATGTGCTCCTCTTGGCATTTCTTTTTCAGCCAAGTAGCCTTTATGACAGTCTGAACCATAACCCTAACCCTAACCCAAATCTAAATGGCACCTTAGAGCAGAGTTTACAGTCCCAAGAACCATGGTTGCTCTAGATGAAAAAGGTGTTGAAAGATTAATAGTAGTACATTGCCATGCTCTACTTATAAAGTGTTTAGCAGACCCAGTGTTCCTGGAGATGTAGCATTATAGATATCTGAA